TAATATCTGTCAGTGCATTCCTGTCATCAGGACTGTATCCAGAGAACTGCATAATATAGAAAACACAATTACTGTTTTGGTATTAAAAAAAGAAAAAAACAACATAAGTACAAAAACCTAAAGATTTTATTTCCTCATATCCTAATAAAGTACTCCATGACCCAAGATTTATATGTAAATTGAATCTAGAAAAATTCTAAAAGAAAACATGATAGATTTTTTCTTAATTTTTGATTGCGAAAGGCTTTTTGCATATGATAAAAGCCCCAGAATCCATAAAGAAGACTGACAGATTTGACAATATATTAACTATATGAAATTAAATCTTCTGGAAAGAAAACACAAAAAAGAAACTGGAGAATTATTTAAAACATATATAACTAAGAATTGATTTTCTTAAAGTGATTTTAAAAATCAGTAAACAAAACTTCTTTTTAAACCTGATATATTGATATATTGACACCAGTTTTTATCTTCTCTTCCACCAAAAATTTAACAAAATGATTAAACAAAAGGATTAAAATAATAATAATGATAATAATAATAATAACAATAAGTATTAAGCCAAAGAGAATAAGAGAAAACAGTAAAATTTTAAATATTCTTTAGGTATTTAAGAAAACCAACCAACCAAACCAACAAAAATCTCTCTTAATCATACATCTTACTTGAGTTATAATCCTATTATTTCCCACCCATTTTACAGCAAGACATTTGAATAAGTTACCTCTTCTTTCAGTCTATTTCCTCTATTTTCACTTGAAATCTCTCTGATCATGCTTTTGCCAAAATCATTTATCTAACATGTCTAATATGAAGGATCACTGCTAAATCTCAGAATCAATTCTAAGTCCTCATCTTTCCTGGCCTACTAATAATATTTGACACAACTAATCACTTCTTCCTCCTGGAAACACTTTGTTCACTTGGATTCCCAGACTCTACATTCTTCTTCTTGTCATTCTACTTTATTGGCGGTTCTTCCTCATTTCCCTATGGTATGAATCTCCCTAAAGTAATCCCCTATGAAAAGTAGCAATACTCAGGGCAGAGTCTTTAGAACTCATCTCTTTTCTATCTACATACACTTTCTAGGAGATCTCATACATTCTTAAAGCTTGAAATCTCATTGATGTGCCAATAATCCTAATATTTAAGACTTCAACCTAGACCTCTCCTCTGGACTCCAGATTTGTGTGTACAAACTTCTTGATCTCTCCTATTAGATTTCTGGTATGCAAATAATAATTAGCATGTCCAAAATTCTGCTCCTAATTTTCCTCCAAAACTTGCTTCTTCATAGTTTTTTTCCCATATCAATAAATGATAACTTCATTTTTCCAGTTACTCTGACCAAAAACCATAGAGCCATTGTTAACTCTATTCATTCTCTCTTTTCCAGTATTAGAATGCTTAGTGAATTGTAAGCTCTACCTTCAAAAATATGCAGAATTTGCTACCACTTTGATCTAAGCAGCCATCTTCCCTTGCCTGGATAATTTCAATAGTCTCAATATTTCTGCCCATGTCACAACTTCACTCCCACCCCCCATTCACAAAACATCCCCACTAAAAGTCAAAGTCCATATAATGGCCTATCACGTCCCATTATCTTCTGATCTCATCTCTTTCTTGATCAACTTCATCTACTACACTGGCTTCCTTCTCTTTCTTCTAAGCATGCTTCTTTTTGGGGTCTTTTGCATCTGCTGTTGCTTCTGCCTGGAGTGCTCGTCCCTCAGATATACACATAGCTCATTTCTTCTCCTGGTGTGGCTTTTTTTTTAGGAGCTAAAAAAGAAATTTGTTTATTGAAGACAAGAGGATGCAAGCAATATAAAAATCAAAACCTTATCTGGTTTTAATTGGCTTTTCTTTCTCTTGTCAAACAGGAGTGGGATTTTATGTGTTCATATTTCAAGGGTCCCAATCTGCTCATGAAATCCTTATACAGGCGGCAGCTGTGGGACAGAGAGATTCCTTGACTCATTGGGAGAATTCTTATCAGAGTGGGAGTAATTGCTCAGTGCTTCCTACTTCTTTCTTTTCTGCTTCATGTATACTACAAAGTAGTCATTGCATGTGATGGTGAGCCTAGCAATTAGTGAAAATAAGCTCTGGAAGCCCACTCTGCCTTCTCGTCAAGAGAAAATGTAGGGTCAACAATGACTCCATGATTTTGGGTCCAGGTCCTTCATTATTTTGTCCATAGCCAGAGAGTCTTTTTGATTTTCCAAAAATCCAGGAAACTCCTTTTCCATGAATACTCTCAGATCCTCCTTTGTTAAGTAGCCTTTATCCCCAGAAAACTCATGAAATATAAACATCATGGTTTCCATGGTGTGTTCCATTTGAGATGGCATTTTGGTGAGGTCTTGGTGGGAGGTGCAGCAAGGTCACTCAGCTGGCTAGGACACACTGCCAGTGAGCAGAGCGTCAGGGCACCTCAGTAGGTGGGGGTGGGCAGAGGCAGCCTGCTCTGGCTTTTTAATTCCTAATCATATCGCTATATATTTTTTCCTTAACAGTTATTAGTTATTAACATCCCATCTTATATTTCATTTTATTTATTCTATCTTTCTACTAGAATGTTCCACAAGAGCTGGGATATTTTTATCTTTTTCAGTTATTGCCATATCCCAAGTCCTGTATCTTAAGAGGATGGGGTGGGGCGGGGGGTGATACTGACAAGAGGCAAGTCGTTTAAATTTGTACCAGCTTAAAACTTGGAGCCATTCTTCTTAAGGAGTGAACAGCAGGACTGAAAATGTGAGAACAGCTGACAGTCACTATAGAAAGCTTTTGGGACTTCTAGATCACGTGTGTGTGTGTGTGTGTGTGATTCAAGTGATTGGCTTCCTCCTCCCAAGATTTTTCTTCTAGAGACTCTCATGCACTCCCATTGCACTGTTTACTTCAATTATAACATTACCCAGAAATTGCCTTTTTAACTGTCCATCTATGCCAGTAGACCATAAGCTCTTTGAATGTTGGAACCATACATTTTCAGTTATGTAGCCGCAGCACCAAAATCTGTGTTTAGAATATTGTTGACTGATTTATTTAATGAATTGAATACTCCGAGCAGGGAGAGCCTGAATTAGGTCACAATGAGAAGCTAAGGCCACTTAGAAATAAAGGGAATTGTGTAGAATAACTCCCAGTGTTTTATTATGCAGGAGAGTCTGCAATGTTTCCTTTATGATTAACTTGTTGGTGGGATAAAATCACTGAGGCTGTCAGGCTGGGATAAGCAGCTGGGCTGAAGGTTACTTTCCTAACCAGGATACTACCATTTTTCTTATATAGAAATAGAAGCAAATACATTATTTATTAGGATTCAAATAGTGTGTTGGACTGATCAATAGTATTCACTTAAAATATATTAGTTTGTATCCTTACATACTGGTTATGTTCTTTAGTTGCAATGCCAGTAGCATATGTTTCTTAATCCTTATAAAACCTGTTGGTTATATAACAAGATGGTATTGGAAACTCAAAAGGAAATTTTACCAGGAGTCAGAAAATAGATCACTTGTTCTCACTTGCTAGGGCAGTTTTTGCATGCTCATGAAGTAATTTCTGCAGGTTGGGCATGATTGGGGATAAAGAGACTTAGACCACAGTCAGGGCAGCATTTGACCTTGTAGAACTCATTAGGATCAGGCAGAATAACATCATTATAACAACCTAAGAAAATACTGCTTAGCGCAAACTGTGAAGGCTGTGCTCATTCAACCTTCCTGGGCTTGAAGTATAAAGGCAGACATCATTCTTTTTAAAAGTATATATTTTTAACGTTTTGCAGTTCAATATAATTTTTATGGAGATTTATATATTAGCTTATTTTCAGCGAAATCAAACCCAGGCTATCAATTCACTTTTCTTAATGAGAAATAAGAACTTGCAGTTCTAAGATTTTAGTTCATGTAACAGTATTTCTGATGTAACTGGCTTTATTAGAATGTATGGAAATAGAAAATAGAGGTAGAATATGGACACCTAAAGATTCAAGGGTATGTTTTGCACTCATCATTTTGACCAACTTTAATTATAAGTAATTTTTCTCATTTTTCCATTGCTTGATGCATTACAGAAACTCATTTAAAAAACGAGAATGGATGATTGATTTTTGTTCTCAAATTCCAAGTTTCTTCTAGCATTTAAAGTAGAATGTGCACATTACATTAAAAATAGATTTTGAGAATAGAGAATTAAAATTGTAAAAAGAAACCCTCTAAGGCAAATAATTTAAGTAATTTCAACTCAAAAACATAGTACTGGGAAAATTGATCATTTAAAATTACATAGGATTGTAGATGATATGAACATTTTAAGGGAAGTTTTATATTTCTAACAACAAAAAACATTGGGTAAGTAGATGACTCTGCCTTCTGTTCGGTTCAAATTGATTGATGTGAAGTTAATATTGAGGTATTTCCTGCCTTAATGACAGAAGTTGCAAGAATTCCTTGCAGTTCTAAGATTTTAGTTCGTGTAACGGTATTTCAAGACAATCTTCTTACAAATATGCCACTCTTACTTGCTAAGAGACATTTCTCATGTACATATTTCCTGTAATGCCAATCACATTGAAATTTAGGGCTAAGGTAAACTGTAAGGTATAAAAATTGAATAAAAGGCTGAAGCGAAGTTAATGCATTTAAATATATATTACTTTCTATTTACACAAATATATTTTCCCTTTGGTATAATTCTAAATTGCAAAAATGTGAATTTAAAAGGAAAAAAGTTATCATTTCCAGTTTATATATTCAGAAACATGAAAGTATATACATCAAGCCATCAAGCAGTATTTAGATTTTCATGTTGATCAGATGGAAATACTCTAATATTTACATTTAAAACTTTACTGCACTGTATATTTATACAGTTAAATTCAGTTACTCACTTTGCTAAAAACATATTTATTATTTTAAGTAATATTTCTCAAGTGCTATGCAACATGCAAAAGAAATATCCAAGCATAGTTTTTCCTATTAAATTCAATGGGTTACTTTAATTGAAGATGCATGATTGTTCCAATTAGCTTTAGTAAATATATTCACAAATTTTAGTTTATGTTGAGCTGCAAAGCTAACAAAAATGTCCAAATAAACCAATAAATTTACATGTAGTCTATCTTCTAAAAATAAAAGAATCAAAAATAGGAAACTTGATGTGATATTAAATATCATACATGAAATATTTTATTGTTCATTTTCAAGACTTAAATATGTCAAATATACCCTCCTAACTCATTTGCAAAAGAGGTGGATAATAAATTCTGACATAGCCAACTATTTTTGTGAAATACAATAAATGAGAAGAGACAGATATTCATGTTCACATACAATTGTATAAAGAGAAAATGATGCTAAAACTAGCCTGTGATAATCATCTTTCCTTTGGTATCACTGTCATATATCCTCATTTTGTGAAATTAACCTGTAAGGCTCAGAAATAACATATTTAGACATAAAAAATTGCTTGCTCTGTCTTTGTTGGGAACCACATGCAACTCTTAAATATTTGCACTAGTTTCATTCAGAAAACCCACCATTCCATATAGGCAACAATCTAGGACAGCGTAGTGCCTTATCCATAACTGCTCAGTGACTTTTGACTGAGAGTTTAGTGCAATTTCATCATCAGTACTGAAATATAACAACTCAAAGTGTATTTCTTGCTGACGATGTGTCAACAAAACCATTACAAATACAAGTAGTACATTTTATTATTGTTTTTGTCACTCAAGACAAAAATTCAATAGCAAATCAGATGTTATATTATTACATATTTCAAAAAAGAGAAGAAAGCCATGAAATTGCTTATGTAGTACAATTGATTTTTTTTTTCTTTAAAGAGCATTATACAAGTACAGATAAATTTTATTTGAATATAATACTAATATCTTTTCTTCTTTTTACACTTTTGGAACTTTTGGCTGTATTCACTTCCTTTATTGTTTTCGGTGCTACTATCACTATCACTGGTTTGTTTTTGCCTCTTTCGTTTCTTCATCTGATAAAGATCAGAGTCATGTGGTTGTTGGTGAGTCCATTCATAGGAGCTGGGTCCAGCTTCTAGATTTGGAATGTGATTTAGTGAAGGAGACACGGATGTGCTATTAGGAAGTGGTGCTGTCATCTCACAGTAAGGAAGCTGCAGTGCTGGATTATATGCATGCCACTGCTGTGAGAAAAAGACACTCATCTACCAAAACAAGCCCAAAAAGTTAAAAAAAAAAGTTTACAGTTTACATGCATTATACAAATAATTATGAGCAAACCAAACCATGTGTTAGTGTAAGAAAGTTAGTGCCTTTTCAAAGTAGAGATGTGGTAGTTGCCTTAAATGGTTAACACGAAGATAGTGTACAGCTTACAGCAATACAGATTAGTCCTGTCCTATAAAAACAAAATGCAAGCCACATATGTAGTTTTAAATTTTCAAGTAGCTACAATACAAAGATAAAAGAGAAACAGGTATAATTAAATTATGTATTTTATCTCAAAATATCTAAAATATTGTCATTTCAACATATAACCAATATAAAAATTATTAAGGTATTTTATTTTTTTTTCATACTCACTCTTCCAAATCTGATGTGCATTTTATACTTACAGCATATCTCAATTCAGATGGTAAATTTTCATAGAAAATACTTGATCCGAATTTACATGACAAAAAATTTACAGTTGAGAAAGTCAATATATATACCCAAGTTCTTTCAAATATATCTAAGTTTTCCAATAACTGTATCTGTTTTAGGTTTTAATTTAATTCAAATTAAAAAAATAAAAAATTCAGTTTCTTAATCTCACATGTGGCTAATGGACACTGTATTGTATAGCATGGTTAATAGTTATGATAGATACTTCTTCGTTTTTAAAGTAGTTTTTACCTCAAATTTCTAACTATTCAAAGTATATTAAAGATTAATAGAAATAACATAAGAGTGTGTATGTATATGTGTGTGTTTTTCTTATCTCTACAAAAGATAAAAATGCTGGGAAGAAGATATGACAGCTTCAGATGAGAACTGGTTGTTTACTAATATCTTACGGTAGCTAAGAAAAGTTTTTTCTAAAAGTTAAATTATCAATTTTCCTTATGTATACAAAAGTGAAAATGGCTATTTAAAATATCTGAAGCTCACAAGTATGTTGGATGTTTGCAAAAGTCTCACCCTGTGAATCAGAATACCTGTGTTATAGTCTCACATCTGTCACTAACAAATTGTACAATCTTGGGCTTGTCAATTAATATTCCTGGACCTCAATTTTATTATGTATAAAATGAGGAGTTGGATGACAACAATTTCCTAAGTTCCACTTAAATATTAAGGTCATAATTAAGATTTCTAGGCCAGAACCATATTTTTGAGAGTCTTTAAAAATAATCATTTCCTAAATTGAGAATCTCTGCCTTATTTAAAAGTTATTTTTTAAAAAATCCATGTCTGAAAGCAATATATTTGTGATTGATGTTTACATTATAAAAAAATGCTTCACTAAATGAAATTATTCAATTCTTAAAAATATCTTTTAGTTATTTAAATAACAAGTCTCTACTCGAATTTTATTCCCTTCCACCCCTTCTCTGTTGATGTATTGGCTGTGTGCTGAGGTACTACGTATGGGATTTAAGACAATTGTGGTAGAGCAAACAGCCATCAGTGGGAAGTACTCATAGAAGCTTCTGCCTTTGTCCCAGGTTTAGATTTAAGCTCCATAAGTTTCATATAGTTTTCATATTCACAGTTTGTATCATATTATATATTGAACCAAAGACATATAAAACTTACCATTTTCTGAAAGAAAAAATATTCTTGAGGTAAAGCTGCATTATTAGTTGGAAAGAACTGCATGGGAAGAGAAGGTCTGCCCATGACTTCTTCATTTCTTTGGGGAGGTAAAAGAAAACATAATGAAAAATTAAAATTCCTACCCCCAAAGGTCCCTTTTTCTTTAAAAAAAAAAACAAAACAAAAAAACTCTTCGTAACTTAAAGAAAAAGAACTTCTGTAAGAGAGCTCAGTTAAGATTAATTAATTTTAAACACACATACATAATCAGTTATTATACTGATAATGTGGTGACACAAAGGTACCTTAAGTCTTATGAATTATTACACATTGAAATCTCAATATTTAATCAAACTTGGTTTTCTCATGGGAAAATGTTAAGTAATGTTATACTTATATAAAGACAAAGAAAACTTAGATATGAAGATAGGACAGCAAGTCATTAACAATCATCAAGGACACATTTAATCTTTTATAGATTATAAAAAGTGAAAAAAGGTAGACATTTTTTCTCAATTTATTTTTGAAAGTATTCACTGTTTATATAAATTATGCTCTTTCCTAAATGGACTGCTGATGTTAACATGAACCCACATTTGCTGATTGTTTCTACACATTAAGATAATAAGAATCCCTAATTTAAAAACCGTGCTGTCCTCACTATGGAAAACAGTATGGAGGTTCCTCAAAAAACTAAGAATTGATCTACCATATGATCCAACAATCCCTCTACTGGGTATTTACTCCAAAGACTTGAAAACCCATATCTGAAAAGATATTTGCACACCGATGTTCATAGCAGCATTATCCACAGTGGCCAGGACATGGAAACAACCGAAGTGTCCTACGACAGATGACTGGATGAAGAAGCTGTGGTAAATATATACAATGGAATATTACTCAGCCATAAGAAGAGATGAAATACTGCCATTTGCTACAATGTGGATGGACATTGAGATAATTACGCTAAGCGAAATAAGCCAGACAGAAAAAGTTGAAAATCACATGATATCACTTATATGTGGGATATAAACCTAAAAACAACAAATGAATAGGACAAACAGAGACTCACGGACATGGACAGGCCAATAGATTAGTGATCACCAGAGGGTAGCAGGGAGGAGGAAGGTGGAAGGTAGATGCAGTAAAAGCGGTCAAATATGTGGTGACAGAAAGAAATCTAACTATGGGAGGTAAACACAGTGTAAATATATATATGCCTTATTGTTAAAGGGTACAGCTGAAACTTATTGGATTTCATGAACCAATGTCACCATAAAAAATTAATTAAAAAATAACAATAATAAAAAAATAAGTAAAAATTGTGCTGTCCTAAATTTTCAATAAAAAGTGTAATATTTTCTTGTATGGAGAATAAATTCCAATATTACAAATATTGGCTAGATTCTATAGCTAGTCTTCATTAGTCTACTTGCTTCAGAGTATTCTACAATTTTAATGCTAATAATACTAAGGTGAGAAAGGTGAAATTAACTCTTGAAATTAAGGGAAAGGTAGAGACAAAAATGAGGGAAGAACAGGAAGCAATCAGATGACTAGGTAGAGATTCCGTTTGTAAGTGGTGAGAGTGATATCATAGAAACCTTAATAACAGTATCTCCACGATTAATTGCAACGAGACCTTGGATGTGGACATGATTTAAGAGCTACAAAAAGAACAAAATAAGGAACACAAAAAATATAAATTGCTCCCACCTACTGCTGAAAATAATGACTGAACTTAACTGAAAATATTTTGTCACTTTTAATGGTTTCAGAAAAAATGAATTCCTTAATTTTATCCTTTGTCTAAATGATAAGATTTAAAATAGCCTAGAAGACATAAAAAATCTTCCTGGGATAAGGAAGAACACATTTATTTTCTTTACCTTCATAAAAAAAAATATTTTAATTACCTGTAGCTGTGTGAATTTATCTTAACACAGCTCTCGAAACTTTGGTTAGCTGGTTCAGAAGAGCGAGAACTCCCTTTAAAAAAAACCACAATAACGGATTAGTTCATGGTACAATTACTTTGAGTTCTAACATTAAACCATAAAAAACTCCAAACCCAAGAGGATGTAGTATTGACTAAAATTCTAAATTTATATATGAAGATATATGAATGTCTTCAGTCTTCCAAGTAATATTTATAAATTGTTTATATTATTATAAATGACTAAATTATAATCAAGCTTTGTCCAAAGCAATGTCTCTACAAAATAATTATATTGACATGGAACCATATAAGATATATGATGTTTTATTCTATACACCTGTAACCTAAAAAAGGCAAATGCCCTTCAATACATTGAATAAAGATGTGGTACCTATATACAATGAAATATTACTCAGCCATAAAAAAGATGAAATACTGCCGTTTGTGACAATACAGATACATTTTGAGATTATCATGCTAAGCAAAATAACTCAGACAGAAACGTTGAGAACTATATGATTTCACTCATGTGAGATATAAAACTGAAAGCAACAAATGAACAAGACAGAGATGTATGTACACAGACAACAGTTTAGTGGTTACAGTGGGGTGGGAACGGGAAGATAAGGGTAAAGAAGGGTTCAAACATATGGCGACAGAAGGAAAAATAAATAAATAAAAATAGCAAATATTCAGTGTTAGTTGCTTCCTGTGTATAAGGCATGAATTCTTTAAACAACACTGACAAAACCCAATGCAATATTATAGCGGATGCTAAGCAGCTGGCTAGGAAAGTGTCAGAATATAATGTCCTGGCCCATTCTATCAGCCTGTACGAGTTGACGGTATTTGAGAGAGTGATGGAGTCCAAAAAAACACTTTTTTTTAATGTCTTCTTTGCAAAAACATTTTAAAAAATAAAACAAAAAGAAGCACTTTTCATTTGCAACAAGGCATTGTTTTGTTATTGTAGTTTTCAGTACAGCAAAAGGAATAAAAAACAAACAAACAAGGGATATATCAATAAGCCTGACTCATTTAGGGCAGGGTGGCAACATAAGCATTGCAAGCATTGCAACATAAGCATAAGCACTGCCTCTATTAGTTCCTCCAAGCATAAAAGGGCTGGAGTATTAGCACAATGTTCTCTGGTCATTTTATCAAAGATGATCAGTTCTTCACATATGTGCAGGAGAAGGTACTTGAGGCCATTTATATCAGGAATTTTTCCTCTACCATTATGAAGGGTCACTCTGCAGCTGCGTTTGGCCAGCTGCTCTTACAGGGACTTATATCCATGGCAATATATAGCATGGTTCCCTAGGAGAAGTACTAAGTCATCCACCCTATTTTCCCAATAGTAGGTATTTGATACTATACATTAGCAATGAGAAGATCAGCAAATAGCCTTGCTATATAAAAGCTAGAGTTGTGTGTCCCCTGTTCATTTAGATTTGTTTAATTTATAAAAACCAATAGCGACTATCATAGATACTTGCTGGCTGATACCAAAATTAAGAACATCAAAAATTTTAATACAGAAGAGATGCAATAGGGTTGGCGATATAACTGGCAATACTAATTAATTATATATCATTATAAATTAGACATGTTTTGAGAAAATTTAATAGACACCACAGGGACATTTTTTGTTCATATGGTATATAAAAAACTAAATGCTTATACTTCTGAGAACACTACCACCAACAGTACACACATGCAAGATTCATCAGTGATAGGACCTACCAAATCGATACTGCACATTAATAGGTCTTCCATATAAACGAATTCCATTCAGCAAAGCTATGGCATACGACACTGATTCTGGGTGTTTAAAGCAGACAAATCCAAAAGACTTCGGCTTTCCTTCTCTGTCTTTGCATATAGTCACTTTGGTTAATGGCCCAGCCTATAAGAAACTTAAAAATTATTTTCTCATAAATCTAAAGATTTTTTTACAGTCAGATAAATCAAGTATATTAAATTTTAGACTAAAAAAAGGTTTATAATGTTTATTTCCTATTTGTTTATTCATCATCCAAGTCAAAAGGTAAGAGAGCAAATCGTGTTTGGTTAATTCAAGGTAATAAATTAAGTGTGCTCCAGTTAAAAAATGTTAGCAGTAACAGCTTTATGCAACTCTGCTAATAATGTATTTTTCTAATAATAAATATTATACTCCATCACACTTTCTTGGTGTTTTCTGGCCATCAAGATTGATTCATGGTGCTAAGAATAGGAAATTCTAGGTAATAATTTCCAAATCTTAAAAGGAAAGCTATCTTACCCTTCTGTTGGGCTTAACAAAACGATTTAGAGAGCATTTCAATCTAAGTAAGTGTATACTCAATACATAGTTAAGTGTATAACTCAAAATAAATTGACAAATCCAATGTTGGCTATGACAAAAAAACTGGTAACATACAGATTTTTTTTTCTGTCAACATGGTGTTTTTTCCATTGAGATATGCTTTAATATGTTTAAGACTTTTAAGTAGGTGCATTATTTATAACAGTGGAAAATCAGAAAGGCTCTAAATCCAACTGGAGAATATCAGGTCATGTTTTATTATTAAAATGGAATACAATACCATATACTGAAAATATTCAGATTGCATCAATAGTAAAACCTATAATTAAAAATATGGAGTAAAAAAGCAGTCAGATATTGTAAAAAAAACCGAGTTAATTACAACTCAGAAAAAATTTACATCTCCACCATGATCAGAGGAAGCACTTACAAACTTATAAACAGCTAAGATTCGATGGTAAACGGCTCAGACTTTTTAATTGTAAAATCATTAAAGAGTGACTGCTTTTCTCTGTAGAGATGAATAAATATGTTAACTGCTTTTAATCTAAAGAAAAATATTGTCTTCAAAATAATACTGTATTTTAGGACTCAGTTTTCTCTTCGTTGTCTGCTTTCACAGGGACTGAGTAGCTCACCCTTCCTTCTGGCTTCAAGGGCCACTTCACCAATAAATCTATTTTTCCTACTCACGCCTCTTCTATGGAGACAGTCTGCTAGAGATCTCAACGTGATTGTACTTCAAACTCAACATTTTTGAAAGTGAACTCATTATCCTCAAAATCTCTATTCCAGCATTCCTTAAAAGTGCAAAGATATTAAAATTTACCCTCTTACTTCAAAGGATAATTAGAAATTTGAAAGACACTAGTAAAAGGATAAATGTATAGTAAAACCAATCTTAATCAGGACTTTTCCACTACTGATATTAAATACAAGAAATCACAAAGGGGCAGAATATCTTAATTGTTTTGAATTTTACAAATTCAAAGATATGTCAAAGCATCTTTTTAAGATAAAATTCAACAAGATTCTTGCTTGTAGCAACAATCACATCAGCTTTTACAGTCTTTTTAAATCAGAATGAAACACATAAACTGTGTTGGGTTTTGCTGGGTTGAAGCCTTTCTAAAAGATACCTCACTTTAGCAAATCTTTCTAGAATATAGAAGGACCTAGGCAAAAATAAAAACACATGCTTGGTTGCCTGATTTGTTAGAAGAGATAAACATTTTATTTATGTAGAAATCACAAAAAATGAGAATAAATATACTGTCTTATAGATCCAAACAACTGATAGAGATCCAGTCTCTACTGACTAGAAATAATGTATGTGCATGTGGACCTTTGACTCACCCCAACTTCCCACCCTTTTTGTTTTTAGAAGCTCAACATAAGCCTTCTGGAGAAAAAGAATGATTAAATTTTTCTTTCTTTCTTTTTTTTTTTTAGAGTGGCAAGTTTCAAAAGATATTGGGGGGAAAATAACTATAGGAAAAGACAATTGTTAGAGCAGTTAAAAAGAGCAAGAAAAAGTTTTAAAAGATGGCGAATTATTAGGATAAGCATAAAAGCCTTAAAATCAACAATATTATTCAAGTAATAAAAAGTTTTATGTCTTGGATAGAAAATTGTGTTATCAGAAGGGATTATCCCTACCAAATTGTGTGTACCTATAATTAACCGAGGGGTGCTTTAGTTCAGAGACAAAGGTAGGGCCTTTTGAAATCTAAATAAAGAACACTTTTCACCACTGGTACTCACACTTCTGGAAATTTAGCATTGTTATTGTTTCCCTTGGAACTTGCCCTTATTCTTATACGGGAAGTAACTCTCGATTTCTCTTCATGTTAGCATTAGCAGTATGATTTGTAATAGTAGTAGCAGCAGCAGAGAGCAGCAAACAGTTAAGTGCCAAGTTCAGTTCTGTTTTACTTGGATTAGTTTATTTAATCTTCAAATATCATATTGTAGATACTACTGCTTCCATTTGACATTTGAAGAAACTGAGGCACTGATATATTCATTTACTTGCCCAAAGTCACATTGCTGATACAGCTTTGCTATATGATGCATTCTTCTTTTGCAGATTATCCTAAATTACAGTAATTAACTAAAATTTTCCCCTTTTAGAAAGACCAGTCTGTCTCCTAAATTTGTATGCCTAGTACTGGACCCTTAAACAGTTAGATGAATCGCTGAATGAGACTATCGCCTTAGCAACTGAGACCTAGATGTATACAATAGGTGTGTTTACAGGAGAGATGAGGCTTAATTCCGGAGGTAACAGGTCTCAAGAGTTTCCGGAATGTCTACTGGGTATGAAATTATGGAAAATGGCCGGATAATTGATTGGTCACAGTCATGATTTGACTACGCAAATCATCTCAAATCTCACTTATCATACCAGAGTAAAATCAAAGGGCCTGGGGGAAAAGTAACGGAAAGGGAAGCACTTAAAAATCCGTATAGCTCATTTCGCTGGATTTAAGGCGTGAGGATGCTTATCACTCCACGGCAGAGCGTGACTCGGCTGTTTTGTTTTGCCCCAGCACACACACAAGGCCCAGGCAGCCTCCGCCAAGCACTTACTCAGAGCGGAGCCCAGTCAGTGCCCATCCCCAGGACTCTGCACTGGGGACGGGAGTGGAGCGCACACTCAGCCATTTCACTACCCAGCTGCTCACCAGGAGACAGGTACGCCAAGGTCGAACTAAATTAAAATCAAAGCACAGGTTAGGGCGCGAAGGGGGCCGGACTCCGAATGGTTCAGGTGCGCCCCGCCATCAGCTGCGCTTCAGGCTCGACGCGCCCCTTCGCCTCCAATGCCCTTTCCCCACCGATGGTACCTGAAGGAACAGCTCGTAAAGGATCTCTTCCCGCACACGGGCCTCTAAATTCCCCACAAACACCGTTCTGTCGGCCTCCTCCTGAGCAGGGAACATCCCTCCGCTCTTTGCCCGAGGATGGAGGAGGAGGAGGTGCCGAAGCCACGCCCTCTTTCCTGCTAGCTGCGCTGCCGAGGCGCGGGGGTGGCGGGGCTGGCGACGAGAGCGCAGGCGCCGGGAGCCAGGCAGAGCTGCTTGGCCACGCCCTTCGGCGCCCCGCGGGGACAGCGCACAGCGCAGTAGCATGCATCTGATCCGGCTGGGGTCGTGGGCGAGTGAGTGAGAGTAAGAAAGATTAGTGTGAAGGGCAGTTTGCCCTCTTGCTTGCGGAGTGCCCTTCGTATTCCCGGGCACGACATTATTAATTGCTTCTGGATTTATTCAACCACTATTTAAAATAAAATGTCCTTAGAGATTATTTAAGTTTTACTAACTGCATTCCAGAAGCTCCCGGGCTAATGGGGGGAGGGTGGGGGTGGAGAGATTAGTTTCCAAAGAGTAAACCATTAAATCATTAGGATTTTAAAATTATAGTCTTTCTTTCAAAACTCTACTATGTGTTATGCTGTCTTAAATGTCAAGTTGGTATTTTCAATATGAGCTCTTTAGAATGGTAAAGATGAAAATATATGAGATTCATATTACACTGTCATATCAAAAGCACAAAGCAAAAAGAATATGTCAAATAGGAAAGACTATTGAGTATAAGCTGGTTAAGAAGAATCTCTTAACACGTGTGACAATACATTTTCTATCTTCCCACATTTTGAAATAATGTGGTTTATTTGCATCTTTGTTAGAGAAGTGCAATTGTTAAAACTAAATTATGTGGAAGGACCTAAGTTATATAGTGGTCTCTAATCAAATTTTAAAAACGAAATCTCACATAAAATCCTAGAGATCAAAAGAATCAAAATAATTATGAGGTTTCATCAGCAATTAGATTTTTCATGATTTTTAAATGAATAACTCATTTCGTTTGTGGATCCTTTGAAACAGCTACCCAGACTTTAGACTAGTTTCTGCTCATCGATGGTAATGTAAATTAAAAAACTCTTCTGTTCTTAAAATACCTTTGGAAATTTACAGAGACTTGAATTTCCAAAAAAACCAATTTAGTTTTGAAATTACACTGCATGTATTTAGAATAATTCTCTACTTTCCTGGCTACTAAAGTCCATTGATGGAAGGAAAATAAGAGAAAAATTAAGTAAATGTGAAAAATATAGGTTTATAATAATTAAAAAAAAACATTTGTTATGTTAAAACTGAGCATATACATATATACTTTTAATTTTCAAAGTGTAGCTCTCAAGGTAGCATTTTGAATTTTAAAATAGCCATTGAGTTTGGGTTGCAAAATGACAGAAACATGAAAAGACCATATTTTATACTTGACAGCTTGATGGATATGGATTTTATTATTGATTTTATAGTATATAAAGACAACTTAAGTTTGTAATCAAAATGAGCATAAACCACAACTTTTTCTGACTCTTTCCATTTCTAGCATTTTCTAACATCACTTTTGCTCTAGACTTTCAACAAATATGTTCTTCCCGACCACTTCTGAAATCCTGAGGTTAAGAGGAATGTGGAAAGATATAATTAGCTTTTTCTTTCCCTTAAATTCAGCTTGTGTGGTTGAATGTTTGTGAGTTATTACAGAGTTTTTGACTTAAAAATCTTTCTTACCACTGCTAACTAATAGGGAAAAAACAAACTACCTCACCTTTTCGACAAACAGGGTGGAGCAAAAGGTCAGGGATCTTTTACATTAAAACCCACCGGACTGTGACAACCCTACTAAAGAGAAACCTTACTGAATTTCAGAATTTCTTTTTTAGTGAATTTGGTTGCTGCTTTTACTTTGATCAGATTCTAAATGAGAGTGTACATATTTCTTTGTTTGATGTGCTGGGCAAGATCTGGTAAGAACTTGATAATTTGATTTATCTTTAAAAACTATAAAATAATCAATATAGTTTGTATTGTGGGATAGAGAATGCTATGACCTTAGGGTATAAAAAATATAATTATGGGTACTAATGATATCAAACAGATTGTTATGAAGAAAGTTTGTGTATATACATATGTATGTATGTGTACATGTTTGGTAAATTATATATTGTATATATTCAGATAATTAGTAACTAGGAAACATTTACAAGGAGGTGTAAATAGAGAACAAATAGAAATATTTAAGAAATGTTAGAATAATTAAGTAATAGGGAAATTCAGTATTTGAACATTATGACAATAAATATCATATTTTAATTTCATTCAAATAACCCTTCTTTTGAGGAAAACTTTTATATAGGTAAGTTGTCAGTTGCAAAGCAAACAAAGTAAACATATACTTTTCTTTTCTTTTTTTTTTTTTTGGTCCTATTATGCTAAAATCTTACCAAAACTGGTTTATGATAATAAAGTAGAACTTTCTTTTCCTGGTTTCTGGTAATAAAATTTACTAATTTTAGTAATGTCATTTACTACTTTATGGCATTGAAGTAGAACTACTTGTTCTACTTTGTGATAATAAGAAAAGTAAGAAATTTAAAATCTATGATGAATAGTTTTTTGTAGGGACTTTGCAAAAGATGATTTTTTAAAAAAATTTTTTAAAAGATTCTTGAATGCATCCTTATTACATACTTATTTTATTAACCATAAAATACTACCTAGAAATTCAAATTATTTCTTGTTTCTTTTCCATTGGATATGTGAGCTAATCAAAATTTTGGAAATGTTTATGATCTGTGGTGGAGATCTTTACCTTCAAGTTCTTTTGGCTGGTGTAATCATCAAATAGACATGAGACAGATTAACAAGAGAAAATAACTCCATTTAATACATATGTATGCATGAGAACCCTGCATGCATGAAAGTTAAAAAACAGGGAAAGTGTGGTATATTTGACATTCTGAACTAAGGATGAGGCACGATACCTTGAGACTTCAGAGGTGGAGAAAGTCATTCACAGGATGATAAGAGCAGGTGTTCTGTGATTAGAAGTTTGCCCTCCCCTATAATTAATGTCAAAAAAAGGTTATCTTTGATAATCTCTTATTATGGGCAATGCCCCTAATTCAAATTCCTCTAGATAGTTCAGGGAAGGGAGTTATAAGTTTCTCATGAACCTGCAGGGTCTTGGTTGCCTTTAACTCAAACAGTCCACATACCATAGCAGCACATCTTAGGGTGACTTGTTCTGAACTCCTACAGTTCAAATACAGAATCTAAATGGTACAAATATACCGTTTATCATTTATATTTTACTCATTTGGAAGTTTCTGAATAGGCATTTTATGTTTCTGTAATATACAATTATAGCACCTTAATTTGAAAGAAATGTGATGTCTGGGCTCCTAAGCTTTGTGCCATATCACAGTTTACATCATTTTAGTATCACATTTTATACTCCAAACATATATAGCAGACTTTCAGAGATTATTGTTTTGGTTAGTAGTTAGGCAGTTACCTATACTTTCAATTGGGAAAACTCAGATATAATTACTAAATATATTTCTATCTCTGTTGACTAAAATAGAATAGCAGAGCTTTTAGACATTAACAACAGTAAATAGAAAATAAGAAAATTAAAGATTTCAGTGATTCTTAAAATCATTCTTAACCCATGTAAACTCTTATACTTTCTCACATTTTCCTCAAACTCCCACATGCCCAGGAAATTCTGTTGAATTTTTAGTAACTTATTTATATGTTTTATTCCTGTTACACCTGTTTTTCTCTTCTCTACTAGAGATTCTGATATATACCTCCAAAAGGTCATGTCTCACACTCTTCAACATGAAAATCACCTTCCAAAAAGGAAAAATATTCTGAAAAACAGATTAGTCAGAGGTTTTAAAAATTTTTAAATAGGATAAAAGGGGAGTGTAGAGGTACCTGAACAAACTATATGTAGTTATATATCTATATGAATATATAGTCAAATTATATGCATGTATATATTCTTAGTACAGTTTCTGAGTCATACTAACTGTTTGGCAGTTGTGGTTGTTGCTATTATTGTTATAGCAAGAGTCAGCAAATATTTCTGTGAAAGGCCAGATAGTAAATATTTTAGGCCTTAGAGGCTGTATCTGTTATATCTATTTGACTCTGCCATCATTGCATGAGAACAGCCATAGACTATTTGTAAACAAATGAGTGTGGCTGTGTTCTCATAAAAATGTATCTGCAGACACAAAATTTGAATTTATTATAACTTTTACATGTTACAAAATATTACTTTAATATTTTCAACCATTTGAAATGTAAAAATTGTTCTTAGCTTGCCACCAGATTTGGCCCACAGGCCATAGTTTGCCAACTCTTGTGTTTCAGTAAGCAGAAAGAGGTGTTAAAAAGAGGTTAACTCCTCATTCCACAGTTGAAGAAAACTAGAATCATTGTTTCTAAGACGATAGATGTTATAATATATGTTATAGGACACCTGAGAATCTTGTTTAAAATGCAAATTCTTATCCATTGGCTGGAGGTGAAGCCCAAGATTTTGCAATTCCAATAAACTCCCAGGTGACACCCATGGATATGTGAACCACATTTTGAGTAGTAAGAATGTAGAAATTTGTAGAACTTCACATAGTAGGCTGTTTGTAGGGCGGTGATCTTTTCAAAACCCTTAGAATTCTGAGACCACTGCCTCAACAAATCCATTATTATTTTTCTCTAAATTGTATTAAAATATTTCTTGTGACTAGTAATTTATTTCTATTGATTTACTAAAATTAGATGGCCACAAGCAACTTTAATTTATTGCACCAAGTTTCTTTAAAATAAAGAAAATGTGAAAGAACATGGGATTCATGATTAAAAGACCCAGATTCAAGTCTTTGTGGCTTGTTTTCCCAGGCCAAATCATTTAACCTTCCTGAACCTCAGTTTTCTCATTTTTAAAAGGAAGTAACATTACAATATTATTTCACTACATTGTGAAGCTCCAAGGAAATAACATAAATGTACGATTTGGTCACTTAAAAAACAATAAAAATTAGAATAATCAACCGTGTTTTCTTCCATGTGCATCTTCTCCGTAATTCTTTCAGATAATTTTTAGATGTAGGGCATTACTGTGTTTAGTCTGTGGATTACCT